GGAGCATACCAGCCACACCAGGAGGATGTGTTTGGTTCCAGACGTGGGGGTCAGCCCCAGCCCCCGCGAGCAGAGTGGGTTTGGGGTCAGAGCAGCGCTGGGGTCACGGCTCAGCACGCTTGGGTGGTGGCAGTAAACACATTGCCCGGCTCGGCGCCAGCAACGACGCCAGTTAATCATTCCAGTTCATGGAACAAGTTCACACTAGGACATACAGTCCCAATAGCTGCATTAAAAACATCCTGGAGAGGGGAGGGACAGGAGAACACCCCAGTTACCTCCATGGGGTCATCCTTCAGGGATCCATCCCACCCGTGGTGCCACTCACATCCCCCTCGATGCCTTTGGGGTTGGCACTGTCCTCACCAATGCTCCTGGGCATCTTTTCCCCACACATGTCCTGAGTTGGCCAGTGCTCTGCCAGGGACGTTGTGCCACGTGGTGCCCATGAACAACGTGCAGGGGAAAACTAATCAAGCCAGACTTGCTAATTAGTGCGAGCAAGTGGCTTTCTAATTAGTTTAAATTTCACAGGACTGTGTTCCAAATGAGTCTCTGGGAACTGTGCTGAGCCCAGCGACTCCAGGACAGCTGCCAGGCCAGATTTACAACCAGGATGTGACCTTCCCTGCTCCTCCATCCGGATCCAAACCTGTGCAGGACCCAGACATGTTGCAGGGCATTGGTTATGCTTGGAGAGAGGCACTGCCACCCACAGCCTGAGGACAAGCAACTCATTACACCCCACGGGGGACTCATTCCAGGGCAGCTTTGGGGTAAGTAGCCAAAAGCCATTGCAGCAGGGAAAATAAAGGTGAGCCCAGTGGGGGAGTTGGGGAGGTTGGCAGGGGCCCAGGGGGTTCAGCATTGGTCCCCAAGTCACCCCAAGCCATGGGATCTCCTGTTCCTACCCACCAGTGTCAGTGCCATCCACATGCCATTGCTGACAGTACCATTGCAAGGCAAAAACATCCCTGCCTTAAAGGAGAAAACCCTCCTCCTATTCCCTCCCTATTCCCACAGGGTCCCAGAGATGTGTCCCCAAAAGTTAATGGCACAGGAGACATGTACAGGTGGATTTACTTGGCATCACTTGCTCTCATGAAGTGGAAAATTCAGCACTGCATCCTATGAACGTAAGCAGTGCACTAACCAGAGCTGCAGGAAAGTAGTGGTAGCCTGGAGAACGTAAGCAGCGCACTAACCGGAGCTGCAGGAAAGTAGTGGTAGCCTGGGGATTTGCTTTTGGCTCCCTGATTTTACAGAATCACAGAATCATTAAGGCTGGAAAAGCCCTCTGAGACCATTGAGTCCAACCACTAAGCCAGTACTGCCAAGCCTACCACTAAACCATGGTCCCAAGTGCCAGATCCACACAGCTTTTAAATCCCTCCAGGGATGGTGAATCCACCACTGTCCTGGGCAGCCTGTGCCAGTGCCTGACCACCCTTTGGCTGAAGAAATTTTTCCTGAATCAAACCTGAAACCTTCCCTGTAACAACTTGAATTCTTTTCCTCTGGATTTTGGTGCGTGCAAGCTCAGAAGTCAAAAGAGGTAAAAAAACCATAAAATAGCTGGAGGGGTTTGGTACAGCCTCATCAACATCAGCTCTTGGGGGATCTCAGCCTCCATGGAGGGTGAGGTCCATCCCTGGTGGATCCAAACTGATATTTTTCTCCCAGATTAAGGTGTTTTGCTCCCAGATGGAGGAGTTTAACCAGCTTCTCGGGGAAACAGCCCTGCAGAGCTACAGCCTGGCTATAGCATGGAGAAGATCATAACCCTGCAACCCCTTCCTCATTCATCCATCCTTCCATCCCTATCCCAACCCCTTCCCTCATCTCTCTATCCCTCTCATAACCCTTTCTCTCATCCATCTGTCCCTCTCCCAGCCCTTTCCCTGCACCCACCACCTTTTCCTCCTCCCTGAGCCCCATCCCAGAGTAGAGCCAATGCCAGCAGTGTTTGAGCCCAGCCCGATCACGGCATGGCCCGGAGCAGGATTATTTGCCGGGCAAAAAGCCATCGCTGCCACCACCTCCACAATGCCACCCGCTGCCAGGCAGATTAGGTGACTTAATCCCTAAGCAAACAAACCAATCCCTGAGATTTTTTATTTTCTAAGCAGAATTCAAAGGCTGTGTCTCGCCCTGCAGCAAAGAGCTCATCTCATCCACCCCCCCACTACTGCAAAACCCCCGTGGGCAGGATGCCTGGCAGATAGGCATCATTCCTGGGGTAGGAAAACCTCTATAGCTGAGGAATTTTGGCCTTTTCCTCTCTAAAAAACAAGCTTATTGGGTTCTTTCCCCCCCAGGAAAAAAATAACCAGACTCAAGCATCAGTGGCACAGGCATCCCAGCTGTGCTCCCGCAGTGGGGAAGGGGCTGCAGGGCCCACAGCTGGACAGCTGGACACATCTGGACAGAGAGCCAGAGGCCACAGCTGGGCTCAGCTTGTTTTGAAAGTCATGGGTATTTCAGCCCCAGCGTTTTGCAACCCTTCAGTGTCACAACAACAACAACAACTCAGTTGTACTT